CAAAAAGGAGTCTACTTTACTGGCATAAAAGTGTTCAACAATCTGCCACAAAGTATTAAAAACTTGGGCAATGATACTAAAAAGTTTAAATCAGAGTTAAAGAATTATCTACATGCTCATTCCTTCTACTCTTTAGATGAATACTTCAATGTAAATAGAGAATGATGTAAAATTAAGTTATATTAATTTTTAAGCTAAAATTGCCTGTACTTATGTATGTAACCTTTTGACTTGTTCTGTATCCATAGGTACTAACCTGCTTAGGATTTATAGAATGTAAATAAATTCAATTCAATTCAATTCAATTCAATACAAATCTCTCTGAGTTACACACTCCAAATACACTCGGTTATCACAAACTATCACTGATTCTTGCACACGCGTCTGTAACTCGTAACCAGGGGGTGGCAACTCAATGCTATTGGCGAGCAACACAGCCAGCGTGACATCATGAAGCATCACTGCTGCCGCTGTGGCCAGCTGCAATTCTCAAAGAAAAAAAAAAGCTGCAGCCAGTGCCGAGGGCTCGGTCGGTAGGAAGTTATGCTATCATACCACCTGCCCTGTCGGTAAGAAAGTTTGCCATTATACCACCAGCATTTTTTTTACTGCTCCCTCCCAAAAAATCACAGGTTCACACATATAGCTAGAATTAATAATTGATGTAAATGAAATGTTCTTATTTTACAGGCACTGGTGAGAAACTTTCTCCCGATAAATAACGTTGCAACCTGATATCTTGTACTGCAGAGGTTCTTACTCTGTTGTGTGTTTTCTGTTTTCGAACTGAATATAACATCACTTCGCTCAAAACCATCTGGAGGGGAATGACTTAAATGATATCAAACTCAGTTCAATAAGAACATTTCATTTACATCAATTCAACACCCCCTTACTGAAATGCAATGGATATTTGAACTATAACATATATAGAATACTTGTGTTTAGGAAAGCTGATGGTGGGTAAACTTGAAAGAAAATTCTGTTTCCATCAGAGATACTTGTATTCAACTTCATAACTTTGCTTACAACTTATACCTGAAAGCTTTACAGAACACAGCTTTTCAGTTACACTAAGGTGTTATATATCATGTATAGGAAGTAATAATACTGAGGTTTTCATTTGTTATTAATTTCAGTAGTATAATGAAACTTGAGAATCTGATACACTCTCTTGTAAACAATTTTAAGATTGCATTTAATAATATACAAAAAGCAATAAAATAATTGCAGAACTCTTACAAACCTTTTTTTTTATTTGTTTCATTCTGTTCCATCACACTAACAATTACAAAGACAAAAATAACTCCGTCCAGCAAGCCACAAACAAACACGGATGATACTAAGAATCTCCTTCACAAGATAGCCCCTCCAAGAAAGACGATAGGAGAAGTGACACGAACCTGCATGGTTTATAAAATTTTGACTTAAAGAACAAAGTTTTAATATCAGGAAGGCTGCTGCAATTGTGAAAAGTAGAATAATGTGTATATTGTGTATTCCAGGCATTGTGTATGTGTGTATGTAATTTAGCACTCAGAACACCTACTGTAATAGTGGTTTCCGAATAAGTATTGATGTTCTCTCTGAAGATGATCTGTAAGGATCAAAACATGTAAAGGTGCTAAGTTTTCAAGTAGTAAAACTTAAATAGTCACACTGCACAGAGTTGATTTTGTCTTTGTCTTACAAGTTTCATGATCTGAAACATCATGTTTTCAAAATAATAAATTAACTGAACGAATATAACGAATGTTGTATTTTAGTTTCCTGTTGCACTGATTCGTATTCATATTGTGTATATATTAACCGTCTCTTACACACACACATATGTCCGGCAAAACAACGTATGCAGCCACATAAGACATACAAATCAAGAGACACGGTATATACACAATTAAAACATAAGAACGATTCCCATAGAGGGTGAATGGCATTACACACGAGTTTGATATACGACATGTAAGATGATAGACCTTAAGTAGTTTTAATATATAAATTTTATTATTGAACGACAAACACACATTTTATATCATTTTATAAATGGACACTTGATGGCAGGCAGTGCAGTGGTTTAACGTGATTAATACATCGGAGGATGGCAGAATGATGCCGAAACATGTAGTGTGAAGTGACAAGTGAAATTGTATGCACTAAAAGACGGTTAATATATAAACATTATAAATATAATGAACCTTGAAAGTCTGATATATATATATATTGTGACATGTTGCGCAACGGAGGACCCCTACCTTCCCAGCGGCACGTGGCGGTAACGTAGCGCTCCTCCCCACTCCGCTGTGACGTAACGCGCAACGCGCGGTGACGTAAGATGGCGCGAGGTAACAGCGTTCCTAGGCTATACGCAAACACTGTGATGCGTCACCGCTTCCTACTATGACGTGGCGGGCGACCCTAGCAACAGCGAACGGAACAAAAGCCGCCTGAGCAGCAAACAAGAGGCAGTGTGTTATCAACAGTTCTCAAGGCAGTCGCCGAGTTAAGTTCCGAGCAAGCCTATGAGCGAGTGTGTTATCAAGAGTTCTCAAAGCAGCAGCCTGCGAATTGAGTTGGAATATAGCAGCCGTCGCGGAAAGAAGAACCGGACGTGTGTGTAACTGTGTAATTGGGAGTGTGTGATACAGTGATACATAGCTCCCGTACTGTAAACGTGTAGACTACTGAAGGCAGAGTGAGCTGATTTGCGAATAGGGTTATAAATCGTGAAACCCCGCAACAGTGTTAACAGATTAATGCGATTAGGGTTATAAAGTGTGAAACCCCGCAACTGTGTAAACAGATTATTGCGGTTAGGGTTATAAAGTGTGAAACCCCGCAACTGTGTTATAATTAATTGTAGCCGTTACTTGTAGGTTGTTGAATAAACCAATTAACATTCCGAACGGCGTCTTCAGTAACAAAACACGTTACAATATATATATATATTGTAACGTGTTTCGTTACTGAATATGCCGTAGAGATCGTTAACTGGTTTATTCAACAATCTAGAACTATCGGCTACAATTAATTATAACAATGTTACGGGTTTCCACAGTTTACAAACCCTACAACAAAATCTCTTAACACAATCTTCACTTGTCTTCACGTACTAATAACGCGGGAGCTATACAAGTCTCCCTCAATTACACACTCCAGATATAACTGGCTATCCCGAACTATCACTGATTCTCGCACACGCATCTGTAGCTCGTAACTTGCGAACTGAGAACTCGTTGATAACACACTGACTCTCGCTTGCTGCTCAGCCGGCTTTTATTCCGTTCGCTGTTGCTAGTGTGACGTGGCGTATAGCCTAGGACGCTGTTACCCCTTGGTGACGTCACCGCTGTTGACTCCTTTGCATAGCTTCAAGGTTGCGGGGACTCGGCTAACTTCGGCTCCGCTCGGCTCACTTCGGCTCTGCCTGTGACATCACCGCGGTGAGAGTTGCGGGGTGATGACTCGCCTATTACGCGAGCGCTACGTTACCGCTGGGGAGGTAGGGGTCACATGTCACACTGCTCCCTCCTTAAGGCTGTTCGTCCCGAATAGCCTAACCGTACTTCCCCCGTTCCTTTTCTTTGGAGGCTCTTCTTGCAGCATCTTCTTTGTGTCCTTCTACTGTTTCTCTTCTCCCCGTTGCTCAGCTCTCCAACCGCCACAGCTTCCCCCTTTTTATGGTTGCTCGTCTCGAGCAGCTCCATGATAAGGCGCGAGCCCGTCGAGGTGTACAACCAACATCCTCGACCTAGGGGTCTTCTGGATTCGGTAAACCACATCATTTATCCGGGTCACTACTTTGTAAGGACCTTCCCATGATGCTTGTAGTTTCGGCGATTTCCCCTTTCTGCGGGTTGGGCGATAGAGCCAGACTCTGTCGCCTTCGTAGTAACCTGCGGAGTTGGCCAGTTTATCGTACCGAGTTTTCATCCGGTCACTGGCAAGCTTCAGGTGTTGCCGGGC